GAATAGTGACATCCGGAAGAGCCTTGGAATACAGCCTTTGCTTCTCCAGATTGAGGAGTCACAGCTGCGACGGCTTGGGCATGTGTTGCGAATGCCTCCAGAACGGAAGACTAAACAAATATTCTTCGCAGATCCGACCGGCAAAGGGCCCAGGATAGGGCCATGATTATCCTGGTGAAATATATGGAAGTAGTCTGTTCCGGATTCCAGCTGTCTTCTATTTAAGCTCAGAATCTGGTTCAGTATCGGGAACGTTGGAAACACTGTCAGACACGTGTGCCTCTGCGACCCGAAAGGAGAAGCGGGCTGTGGAAAATGAAGAAGATGAAAGTGTTTCGGTTCTGTGAATAAACTGTGCCGGGTTATTTTGGGGAGACGTCCGCGGTAGTTGGCGAGGGTTGGCACTCTGAATGGTTTATTGAACAGCCACTCCTCAAAGCCGATAGACGCTGAACAAGGAACGATTGTAGGAATGTTGACTTGCATTCACCAAAAGCAAAGAAACAACTGTCACTCGTCTATGAACAATGCCGTATATGATTTGCAATTATCATTTTTTATGTCGTTTTGCATTTGTTATTGTTTATTTTTCTGTTGCTGTTGAGACCGTGACTTGATTATATGAGACCCTATAAACAGTAAAACTTTGCAGCTTAGCTATCTGTCGCTATTATGTTTCACAGCAGTATATTTGCGGAAGCTCTCGCTTATCATCACTGAAGTCATATCGCTCTATGAAATCAGGGAGGACATCATGTCTCTGACTTTTGGCTTTGCAATATTTCTCGTTCGTCGCCGTCAATCAAAAATGCCTCTGGGAATGGCTCTTTATACCTTCATGATGGCGTTATTCCTTCGCCCTTCACTTCATGAAGTTAATAGTGAGGCAATAAACTCCTCTCCCATGGAATAAGCACAAAAGAGTCTTATATTGTACAGGAAGAGTCGATGACAACTCTGTCGCAAGTATAGCGCTAGTCTCCTGTTTCCTTTGCTGCTCATTTGTCAGCCTAAGAGAGAAGAAAGACGAATGATATCCAGACCAGAGCTTGAACCCCGGAACTTCGAGGTTCTGAGTCCAGCGTTTTACTGACTGAGCAGCTCTGGTCTAAAGGCAGTGTATGGTAAATCAATTGCTGAAGAAAATTTTAGGTTAGGACAAAGATTTCCTTATGATGGAATCGAACCCGGCATCTCTTGATTTCGAAACCTAACTTTTGGGTACTGTTCTACCACAGCACCTCAGGGTAGAGCATCATTTGATAAACACCAGGTAGACCGTTTTATCGTCTGCTTTCTATCCACAAAAAATGTACTCGTTTATTTGCACTGGATTAAGAACGAAAGTTCAACGATTTTCAGGCAGCATTGAACTTTCTGAAAGCCTGAATAACAAAAAATGTAAAACAATAAATTCTGCTACAACGAAGAATCTGACATTAAAAGAAGTAAGGAGGAAAACTTGTAAGGTCAACAGTTGCGAGTGAACCATCTTAACATGCCCTGAACCGTGACAGCGCAGAACACACCATCGAAAGGTCAACTCAACGTCTAAACAAGAGGAAAGAACGGTGAGCGCGTCTGGAAGGCAGATGCATGACGAATATCGTCAATTTAGCATAAACAACAGCCATAACAACCAATGGAATTTTGGTAGAAACATTTTTATACTGCTGCACCAATTGGAGTGGCATAACAGGCAAACCATTTTAACAACGAAGCTGGTAAGCATGGCTCAGTGCGTCATCTATGAAAAGATGGAGAAGGTGGCATATTTGCATGAAGTCATCTTCGAACTCTATATTTAGCAGCTTGTAGTGCCAAAAAGATATATACCTACCTACAATTTTATTGATCAAGAAATTCGCCTCAAGTTGCTGCTGTACAATAGGTCGAGAGGCGGATATCAAGTCGTTGACTTGCAAAGAATATGAACAACATGGCATTCTAATGTAGTCATTCCAAAATGGACGACAAGCAAGAAAATTTTGAACTGGACTCAGCGATTCATCTTGACTCAGCCGATAGCTGATTGTTCAACGTGATAATCATCACGCGAACTGAACCTTATTGTTGTTGTCGAGTTGTGGAACACTCTATCGCTGGAAAAAAATGCCAAAATCTCATTTGATACGTTCAAGCTGTTTCTTATGACTTGGATGATCGAAAACGCATCACCTTGTGTGGTTTTGAAAATCATTCAAAAATGTAATACAAACGTAACGTGTGAGCAGCTACGTAGAGAAATGGTTTTTCATTTATTGAAAGCATCATCTACCATTCGTTACCTTATTTGCTGTTGTTGGTGATGTACTGGCCTTCCTACTCGACCACTGTTTGTTTGCTATAAATCTTAACTGCTACCATTTGAGCAGAACGTGCACATTCGTCCTTATGCGCAGTTGTACGTCACAATCTGGTAGTGTAATTTTACAGTTGTTTCATCACCACCATACAAACCTGACAGGAGCTAAGCAGCAGAGTGACTAAAAATTATATCTGACCCTCCTAAATTGGATCTCAGATTGATCATAGACAATATTTGCTGCTACAGCAAAAGTCACATTGCTCCTCACAAGCAGCTCTGTCTGTGAGGGAGTCACACGTCTCATAAGCGCCTGCGGTCGGAGCGCGGCTCCAAAGCAAATAATGCTTTGATTTTATGACCATCCTCGTTTTTGGCCGTTTTACAAACCAACTCAGGCGCTGGTCTTAAGGTTCATCTCATAGTCTTCTCAGACGATTGGTCGTTTGTGACACAGTAATGCCATCGCACTTTAGGACACTGCGCAAACAGCGTTGTTGGATGTCAGCGAACATCATGATACCTCAGGACGACAGATGTTTCAAGACTGTACATGAGCACCACGAATATGACTGTCTTCGGAATGGAGAATTTGTCTGTTTTTATAGTATGATTCGCCAGGGTAATGGGCATAATAACTATTAAATTATTGCTCAGTATACTGAAAGCTCGGAGTTCACAGTTCACCAATTTGGAACATTCGTCTGATCGATTGCCGGCAGCTAATATTCTTCAATTTATGTTTAATATGACCAAACCAGTTTTATGAGTCATCTTTCACACTAATCTTCGATCTCTTAAATTTTTTAAGTTTTGTTCGATCACTTCATGCTTTTACTTTCAAGAAAATTCAGCATTGAGATGTTTTGATGTTACAAGCATGTTTAATTACGTGCCTTCTGAAAACCGT